TGCTGGTGGTGGGTCCATCAACAGTCACAGACACGGCAAGCCATTAACCAGGTCCAGGATACATCCAGAGAGCCCAGTCAGGAAAAATGGGAGACGGCCGGAGACACAGCTAGAGACAAGGCTACAATATACCTCCGAGGGTCCGTCCAAGAGACAGGTACCTACAGCGCAGGGCCAAGGTCCATCCAGGAGGCAGCAACAGGCAGGGCTGGAAACAGGTACGCCTACAACAAAGCTCAAGCAGGTACTGATGGCCCCATGCTGAGCTGATTTTTTTTTTTTTGGATAAATTTTTTGAATTTTTAAGGGGACCCAGAGGGAACCATGTGGATTTTCTGGCCAAATAGGAAGGCCCTGAAAAGCCTTCCCCATAATGGCAGAGTGAGCAGGAAGAGATTAATTTAGAAATCCTTTTATTTCAGTTCTGCTCCATTCTGAATTTTCTTTATTTAATAATTTAATTACTCTAGTTTAAAAGCTTGTAAAATCTAAATTTCATAAGCACTCCTTGTGTTATGAGGTAGTCACCTTCAGAAAAGGAATATCCATCTTGAAGTTTTGGTTGATGTGGGCTCCTAGTCGTGGTAACACCTTTGAACTGTAGTTTTAGCATCGTGGTATTCTCCAGCTGGTCGAAGCTGACTATAAAGCATTGGTTATTGGTAGAACCGTCACAGCAGCGTGTGTGAGCTAAGTGATCTATGTTATAACTACACTGTAGACACTGCAATATTGAAATAGCACAGACACCAATAGATTTACCTTTGTGTATAGACAGGTATTAATTACTTTGCTGAGGTATTTTATTTCTGTATTCCAAAGCACGTTTCAAGGTGGGAAGACATATATTGTAATTGCTTAACATTTGAAATTCTAGGTGTAAGCTTCTGAAGACGTCATCTCATTTGGTTTCTAGGTCCGTGCAGGTATTCCCTGATGGAACTAAGCTTGGCCTGTAGCCGTCCCAAAGCTCTGTTTGGGACCTTAACAGGGTACCACTGTCCTAAGAAAAGGCTCCTTTGTTTCTTAAATTTGTAAATAGACAGTTTAAAAAAACAAAAAAGGCATGCAAAGGATTTTTATTGTGATTTAGAATGACTAAACATCAATTTCTACTCTTTGTTTGTTGGGTAATCTGTGCAAACAATGCCAAGACCCCTGGCCATCTGAAAGGCGGATAATTTCAGAAACTTGTATGAGAAGCCAGTTTTTATGAGTTCTGAAGCGTGAGGGCCATTTAAGTAAAATGTCAGTGTTATAGCAGGCCCCAATAACCCAGTTTTAGGCAATTCACAAAATAGTAAGATTTTTAGAACGAATGTGCATCTTTTATTCTCTCCAAGTTTGTACAGAAATGTTTAATTTTCCCTAGCAACCCTTAAAGAAAGCAGGGAGAATGTCTCTTTGTAAGTGATTTATAAATATGTCCTTGAATGAGTGGAGAGATGCATGTTCTGCTGAGGAATTGGCAGTTTTTCTGGTATTTACCATATTCAAGTATTGTTCTTGCTCTTGTGTTGTTTCATAAAGTGATCCCTCCTGCCTCTCCCCAAAAGCCTTGCAGTTCATTATATGACAATAAATACTCTGCATTTAGAAAGCAGTTTTAATATACGCTTGCCTGAATGGAAAAGTTCATGGCTATTGAAGTATTGGCTATTGAACATGGCTATTTCTTCAGAGAGAAGGAAAAAAAAAAAGTATTTTTGTGCTATAGCCTTACAGATTTCACTTGGGCATGCAATGAGACTTTATTCTGTGAAAAATGGCAGGGTTTTACTGACAATTTGAAGAGCTTTTAGCAACACATTAGTGATTAAAGTACTAAAAATTATTTCAGATGTAAACGCTAACAGAAACTTACATTCACTTGGTCAAAGCAATTTAATAAAATGTATTCGGATGAACTCCTTCTACCAAGCCACAGAGCCTGCCAAATTGCATTTTGAAAGATGAATGAGCAAACCTTGGCTGGTAAGACCCTTTATGGCTATTTGAGATGGGCTTTTGCTAATCGTGTTTGACTGCTAGGCGGGAGTTTTTGAGAAGGAAAAGTTTGTTGCGGGATGTCAAACTCTGAAGTGGGTTTCGTTTCCCTGGTGCGCTTCTGAACTGCCACGGCGCTGCAGCTGCATTCAAGGAAATGGGGAGCAGACAACAAATAAATTATGTAAGCACCTCTTAAATAATTAATGACTGTTTCTTACACTGCTCCGTGATAGCTTAGACAGGTCTTACGGTTCAGGAAAGTAGAGAAGGGTGTTAAAACTTTGGAGATATTTCACATCTGTCTTGTTTAAGAGCTTGTGGGACCGATCTCGTGCTGTAGGTAGCAGTAGGGGAGGTAGGTGTTGGGAGCCCTGCTGTGGGGTGAAGTGAACCGGAGGAAAAGGAGAGTTGGTGACGCAACTCCATGTTGGATCTTACGGAGAATTCAAGGGATTTTGGGTTTTGTTTTAATTTGTTTTTTTTGAGTCACTGGCAGATACCACCTTCTGAAGCCAGCCTCAGAGTCAGGCTTTCTCATCATCAGGACCCACAATGCCCATTTTAAAGGTTATATGTTGAAGTATGAACAGAATTCCTATCTTTTGTGGTTGTTGTCTCTTGTTAAATGATTGAGGCATTTGAACTATTCTCCTGCAGCTGCAGGAGAAAAAAATGATTTTTTTTTTTTTCTCCTGCGAATGCACACACTAGACCACACTTTGATACTCCACAGCTTTGAAACCATTCAGTTGGGGAGGTTCAGGAGCAACTTCCCTAAAGGTGTGGGGCTGTGTGAAAAATTTAAGTGGCTTCGAAATGGATTTTATAGGGTCATATATTCATTATGAGAGAGGATTAGGTACAGGAATGCAGGTGGACATTTTCAGTTCCAGGTTCTTGAACCCTTCCCAGTGGGTTTTGTTGGAAATTTGCTCTGTATTGAAAGATTAAGTCCAACGACATTGACATTGTATTCCTGGTCGGTGGGATGCAGAATTATGCTTATGTGAATGCACTGCTCTGTCACCTTAACTTCTCCTAAGGCTGTTGGATCGCACAAGCCTGTTCCCACTGAGTACTTAAATATGTCCAAGAATCAGCGTACAGCGCATGCCTGGTCGCCGTGGTCTACAAGTCACCCCTGTCATTCACCTCCTCCAAAATTGCCTTACTTGAATGCGTGCTTGCCTAGCCCCCTGGTGCGTATTTTCTTTGCTTGTAGTCTCCTTAATGTTTGTTTACAACATTAAGTGAAAATTTTAATTACAACAAAATGGCTTTTTTTCAAGAATTACTACTTTCTCCATTTTTTTCCTCCTAATTGAAACTCACAAATGAAAAGGAATTACATTTACTTATTCTTTCTACCACTGAGTAGCTAATGAAAAGCAATGCATGGAAAACTCTGAAAAAAGAGAAACCAGGAAAAATCTGGATAAAGAAGAAACAGGCATTCCCACAAATAAAAATAAGTATATGCTTTTAAATGAAACAATTTTGAAGAACAATTTTGAAAACCATGCACCTCCAAAATGTTTGAATTATGATTTGAGTTCATTAGAAACAATATGTTCTTTTGTAGGTGTTTTGTTTTGCTTGTGATGCACTGAATTTTAAAAATAATTGTCCTTGAATCTAGAGGTAAAACATATCCTAATTAGTCAATTATTTGTGTAAGGGAAACAAGGGTATTCCTAGGGGAAAGCAAAAACCCCCAAAACACTTCAGTGTCGTGAAAATCAAAAGTGATGAAAACCTGTGGTACCTTATGAGAGATATGCCTGATGCAATTTATTGGATATACCTGTACTTGTTAGAAATTTGTATTAAACATTTATCAGCCCCAAGCATGGGAGACATCTTTTGGTGAGTCTCTTTAAGGCCTCCGTAGCGTTAACCCCAGAAACCTGGCAGGGCTGGTAGACGCGGTTTGGTCTGCAGTTTCTCAGTTCCCCTCGCTGGAGCCCAGCCAGCGCATTAGTGCTGGACCTGTTCCTGCGTGTGCCTGGAATTACTTCCCAGGAGACGGCACAGCCCCCATCAGGCAGCGTTTCGGAGAGGCACAGTACTTGAGTAAACTCAAGCCATCTGTTGGTTGCATAAATTAGTTTTCCCCATTTACCCATCTAGCCATAAGGTACCCACTTTTTTTTGGCCAAGTAATATATTTTTTTCTTTATCCAGGTCTAGTAGGACACATATAAGTGAATGGATTTTTTTTCCTATTTATCCTATTTTATTTTTTTCTTCTTGTGTGCATTTCATTGTTGCTGCTTAATTTAAAAAATCATCTCCTTTATATTAGCATCCTCATGAAAGATAATCGTTATTCATGATGCAGACACTATTACAGTTTCTTGTCTTTGTCCTGTCCTGTCCTGTCCTTTCTTCTCCTCTGACTTTTCCTCTCTTTTTCTCTCTGTCTTTCTCTCTCCTTGTCTTTCTGTTTCTCTCTTTGTCGTTCTATGTTTTTTCTTTTCTTTCTCTCCTCCATCTTCCTTCTCACTTTTCTCATCTTTCTCTTCTTTTCTCTTGAACGCTAATTGAAATATGAATAAAAAGATAAGGGACTAAATTGATTACATCAGCCTAACTTCATTGATTTAACTTCAAATGGTATATTGTTCAGTATTCAAGGAAGAATTAAATTCAGCAATAACTGTTTGATTTCAACTTCAGTTGTTTCAAAGGATGTCTGTTTCACATTGTCCTTGGCACTTTATGGGAATCACATTCCTTGAGCATTCGGAAAATGAATACTCAATCACCAGAATCAGTTGATTTTGAAAATTTCTTTAATGTTTCTTAGTGCCACCTTCTGCCTGTCAAACAAAAAGGTGAAGAATATGTTTCACTCAGTGCATTTGGTCTTCCTAACAGGTCTCCCTTCGGTCTTTCTGAAGATTGCCAGTAAGGACTGAGGATTTACTGGTGTCTCTTCTGTCAAGCCACTTTTCTTCTTTTGAATGTCTGTTCGTATTTTGAATTATTTCTGTTTTTTCCTGTTGCAGATTTATTTGAAAAACAGAGATTTGTATACTGTAGAAGCCAACAATCCTCGTCAGTTAGTGGAAATAGCAGCCAGAGACATTGAAAAACTGCTGAGTAACAGATCTAAAGCCTTGGTGGTGAGTACTAATTGATTAGGTTTTCTGTTTCTCGTTCTTCTTAATTCTTTGTGTATTGTTGAAGCCTGTTTTTAACTGTTATTTTTGCTGCCTGTGCACTTACAGGCAGTGTCAGCCTGATTTGTACAGGATGTGACATGTAGAAAGACGGCTTGTGACTTCATGGTAGAAGAGAAACTCATTAGTTAGCTGGCAGAGGGCAGATGCTTATAATAGTGATGGACAGATTAGGAACCATGGCCAAGTAACAAATGAAGATATAAATAGATTGGAAAATATTCCTCTGTGTGACTTACATGAATATTTATGACCTGAAGATCACTGTACTCTACAATCAGTAGTAATCTTGGGGAAACGAGGAATGGAGCTTTTTTAAAGGTGCTTTAAAAATAATGATATCTTTGAGGTTAATTTTGGCATTATTGCTAAACAGATCTGTTGATATTTAGCCTCTCCATCTTCTTAGTTCCTCAGTCTTTCAGGATGGTACCAGCTAATTCTTCTTCAACGAATGTAGTCGTGTGTGAAACACGATTCATTTCCATAGCTATTCAGCTTCTGATTTGCTGATTTAATCTGTGTTTCAGCCATGTTTTGTATCAGCAAAATTAATCCTAAACTACTAGTGTGAAGACCGTACTGCGTTGTAATCTCATGGTTCCTTATGCTTTAAATAACAAGTAGCTACTTTTTCAAAGTACTTGTGCCAACAGTCCCTTGCAGATCTATCAGCTAGAGATGCCAGACCTGGATAATTGCTCTTTATAACTCCTACTCACAAAAGCCTCAATCATATCAGAGTGTTTTAGAAGGTCCTGACCTGAACATGCATAGGGCGTTCTGGATGAATTGGTAATCATGCCTTTTATGGAGTCAGAGCTGTTAGCAAATGGCTTAAAGGATGGAACAGTCGACTAGGGTAGCTTGGGGAATTACATATCTCCTTTGGTTCGAAGATGAGTTTGGATGTGTCATTTAAAGCGAAAGAGAGAAGGAGGAGGGATTAACTCACCTAACTGCACACGTCTACGGCTAGATGTTAAAACTCAGCTGGTCACCCTAAGCTGCTTTATGTTCAGTGGAGCAAAATGTGCTCTTCTCAGGCAGGACTCACCTGATCTGTTCTAAATAAGACTTTAAAATGGGGTGAATTACTAATTTCTCTCTTTGACTGTTAGAGGAGCCTAGGTGCAGATGTCCGTACTATAGATGTTGCAAGTTAGGGGAGATAGGGTCCTCCCAAGCAGTCCTGTCATCAGTAGAGCTTCACATCGCTGAAGAACCAGTCAGGGAATGAAATTGCTGCTCCGTGCTCTCCTGAGGACTGGCCTTCTTCAAGGTGAGGACAGAAACGAGAAAGGTGATTTGCTTAGTGCGTTGTCTTTGTGCAGGTACCACCAGAGATGCCCATTTTCCTACTTTTTGTGCTTAGCGGGAGGAATATTAGTTCATTCTTCCAGTTCCCATAGCTTGCCTGACATGTAATGTAAATCAATGTTATTTGAGAAAAAGCTTCTCTGTGCTTCAGTTAAATAGGGTATAAAATAGGTTTTCTTTTTGTATCCCTGTTATAAGTCAGTTGGTGTGTGTTTACATAGCGCTCTGTGAACTTTGCATTATTACTGAAAAATATTATCAATGACTTATAGACCTTTGTGAATATACCAGTTTTTCCACTGTTTTTTCCATCAATTCATTCAATTACAGTGTGGCTAAGTTATCACAGCCAAACCATTTCCTTGAAAGTCATGAATCTTGCAGGGATTTTTTTGTGTACGGGTGTAGATGAGCTTTTTTTTTCTTTTTTTTTTCTTTTTTCTTTTTCTTTTTTGTTCTGAAAGCCTTAAGAAAATGAAATAAGTATCTCAGGCTGAGTTTAGAAAAGATACCAGAACATTTTTTTCCATGGATGTGGTGAAAGAAGGGTGTCCTACCTAATTTTAGGCAAGCCCTTGGTCATTTTTTGAAAGGACTTACGTGATCTAATTGCCTGAAGTAAAAGAAGATTAAATTTGGGGAAGGATGTTTCTTCAGTCTAGTTTCTACCTTTTTAGAAAAACAAAACAAAACAAAACAAAACAACTTAATCTTCAAAATTTCTCAGATAATATTAAATGGTCAAGTGTATACTTCCCAAAGGCAAATAAAAAGTCCTCCAAATGTATTGGTGGCTAGAGACTTACGACTTTAAAACCAATTTCATTATTTTGGGGGGCTGTGACTCATAACATCTTTAGTGCTTGGGGTTGGCATTATTGCCAATGCTGCAGTGACTATACAATGCTTATTGTTTTTACCTGCGTGCCCTTATTTCAAGATCCATACAATGATTCTGTGCATTTCAACAAGACTTCTTCATAGCATTGGTGTCAATCTTGCCACTTCATGCAGGATGAAATTGATCCCAGCGCAGATAGAAATAATTGGTCTTAGTTTCCCCTTTCACACAGTCCAATTTAACTTGTTGTCCTTTACATACTAATTAATGCTGCTGCTTTTTAGTCTTGGAGCAGCTCTAAAATTTTTTTAAGTAAGTGATGCTTTTTTATTGCTCAGTAATCATCAGAATTTACAAGTATTAACTTCATGATTATACATAGGGTCGTTTTTGCACCAAAGAGATTGAAATTACCTGTTGAAATAATCCACTCCAGTTGAAGAAGGACTGAGCTGGACTTCCAAAGATTGTCAGGTTTCAGATGCTTGCCTTTTTGAAATTTCTGTGATCTTTGCATACTTTTTATGCCCTAATTTTACACAAAGTCATATATAAATTTGCTAACTTACGATGCTTTTTTATGGAAATGATATTTGGCCTTTTTCCTTATATACATCCTGGTTTGCTCTTTTCTTAAGATTGAACTTTTTCCTTCTTTTTTTCCTTTTGGATATGTACATATATATTTATCAACATGCATTTTAAGAATCAAAAATTGCCAAAGGACAGGTTTGCTCTAGGTCAGTTTTCTGACGATGGTCGGTCCTGGATGCTTCCCAAGAAAAGTTACTTTTCCTTTTGTACCAAAAGCTAGACTTAGCCAAATTCACGTATTCAAAATTCTAAAACTGGCTGAATGGTGATTAAACTTTTAAATATTATTTTCAATATTTTATTTGTCTCTTGATTTCTGATTCAGACATTTTTATCTGCCATTAACAAAACTAATTGTTCTGGGGAGTTCTGCTATTGTTTCTTTAAAAATATATATTTACCATGTATATTCGTGAGTGTGAAGTCTTAGTCTGATTAAAAACCAGGAGAAGGAAAAGGCGAAAATGCCCATGACTTGAGGGAGAAAATAGCCCTTTGTTAATCTCAGTCCTCCTCAGATCTCTTTGTTGACTCATATTCTCCATGGTTATTAATTGCAGATCACTTTGTGTTGGTTTCTTTTGTTCTGTCACCTGACCTAAAGAGCTGTGAATGGCTCACATATTTGTACTGGCTATTCTGCTTGTGGGAATCTTGGATTTATATCAGAGTGATATTCAGTGACTTCTGATTTTAAACATTCCTCCAGGTCATTTTATGCGCTTGTGACACTCACTTGTTATCTCCTGCACCTGAACTTGTTACCTTCTACTAAGGGAATTTATCTTCCAGATGAATTCTTTGGTTTTGGTTTTGGTTTTTTTCACCCTTATGTTTAGATTTTGTAAATAAGTCAGCTTCGCTACCTAAAGTTTATCTGAAATACAAGTCTTCTGAAATCTCCTGGGTCACGTTTTCTCCGAAATGAGGAGTGGAGGTGAACAGGACTGATACTAATCACTGCACTTAGGGTTTTACCATTGGGGCTAATATGACTCACAGTGTTAATTAAGCCCTGAATGCTGAAGAGAGGATGATGCAAGAGGAGAATAAATCCTCCAGTAATGCCATGAGGAAGGTGCCAGCGAATGACATCAGCAGTCTCGTTGTTCAGACACTACCATACCCCAGGGATGACATGATTTTCTCTAGGCGTGCTGCAGAAAACAATATTTGGGGAAGGTTATAACAAGCAAATATTAGTGGTGACTTTTCTAGTATTATGTTGGCTTCCCTTGAGCTGCAAGAGCACCTTTAAATGAAAAATAACTCTCACAATAACTCACGATTATTTGTGTTTCTAGGCACCTTTGTGCTAGATAGAAAAAACTAGATAAATAGGACTTAGAAGTAATGACATTTTGTGGTCTGTGCATTGCACATAAAAGGCTTGGAACTTCCAAGGTTACTTGGAAGACCTTCGTGATTTGATTGCTGGTATATAATAATATACATGTGGAAATACCATAATGACAATCTGGGTGAAGATGACCTCTCCCATGGTAAGGAAAGAAATTATATTGTCATTTCTCCATACGTGGGAATATATGCTTGGAAGCAGCTTAAAAGTAGTGGTTGAAATAGATGCATAGTTGAGAAAAGGGAAAGCCCTAATATAAAGTCGAAGTCAGAGGGACTTTGTAGATAACAAGTACTAGAAAATGTTATAGATAGAATGAAAAGTTAGGATGAAAAGAAGAGGGAGACTTTTCTAGGAATGTGTTATGGAGGAATAGTGTGGATTTGATAGTAAGGAGTTAGACAGGCAACAGCCTTATATATTCAGGGATGTCCAAGAAAGTTTTATGGTAGAGCGTCTCTTTGAAATAGCGTACGTTTCTTTTTTGCATTACTCTTGTTTCATGTTGTGTGTTTGCCTGATCTAATCCCTACTGAACGCACAGTGTGATGACATTTACATAGGCAAATGATATGTGCAAGTTAGTATTCTGTCTCTATGTATCGTGCTGACAGGGAGTGTACAGCTTGTCTGTGCTAGCGGCGGGACCCACGTTAGCAGGTTTGTAATGGCAGATGGGTGGAGATCTCATTGCACCTGTATCTTGTCGCAATTAAGGGCAGAAAGTTGTTCTCAGGCGTGTTTCAGGTACACAAGCTTTCCCAGCGTAGCAACAAAGACTCTGCCTAGCTGGTTAGGCAGTTTGGTGAAACGTAGCAATTT